GCGCATGCACGGAGGAGGCGCGCTCCGGGGCTTCCCGGACCAGGTGCCAGGGCGCCGCCTCCGGACACAGGTCGGCGCTGCCCTCCCCACTCGCCGTTCCTAATGAGACCCCAGGCAGGACAGGGCTTCCGCAGCCCCGAATCCACGCGGTGACTCTGAGCAGGCTGCACTTAGGGTTCGGAGGGCAGACCAGGGGCCCCGCGGTAGCCTCACAGCCACCCCAACTGCATCCTCCGAGAATCCCAGCTGTTCGGAGGGACCCTGAACCCAAACTGGGGGATCGGCCGCTCTACGTCCGCTGCGAGGGGTCTCTAATGCCAGACTTCGAGGCTTTGGGCATTCTCCATGGTGGCCTTTAATGGATTCTATTAGTTTAGAAGTCAAATACTCCTTTCTGGAAACTTGACCCTCCTGGCTTCAGGGCTTCAAGGGAGAGCTTGCTTCAGATGGAGCTCTGGACATTTTCCCACCGCCTAGCACACTTCTCCTTCCGAAACTGAGGAGTCTGGAGCCCATGCCGAACTGAGTCACACACACACACACCTCCTTTGCACTCTCTTGATGCTACTCAGAACCATCAAGGAAAGATAGCCTCAGGCCCGAGGTACCTGAGAAAGCGAAAAGACTTTTTCTATACCCACAAGAAGGTTCCCCCAACGATTCCCAGAACAGCACTGAGGTCCCTGGGCTAGAGCTCTTCCATGCAAGAAAAATATGACATCACATCCTCGTTTTGTGTGACAGTTTTTTTCCATATGAAAATTTATGCTGGCATCATGCCTGCTCCTATAAAAAAGATCATCACTGAAGAAGTTTGACAGATTTGTAGAAATATAAAAATCTTTCAACTGCCCCAGCAGGTGGCTTAGCATTAGATAGGGTTCTCAGACCAGTCCAGATCTGTGCAGAAGTCTTCCCATAGAAGTAGAAACATACAGAGACAAGATCAGCTGATGGGGGTAGATAAACAGGAAAGTGGATTATTAGGACAGAGGCAAATCTGGGCCCTCACAGCTGACATCTTCCTCACTGAATGTGGCAGGGTCTTCAGGTTTTCCACTTAGCATTTCTTTGTACTGACGTTTGAAAAAGCCAAGCTGTAAAAGGAAATAATTTTTTTAAAAAACTGGGTAAGAAAAAAAGGAAGAAAGTCACAAGTAGGATGAAGTTGAGAGAGAAGGGGAGAAGTCAGCTGATTTGTTTGCCAAACAGTTACGTGAACAGCAGTCACACATTGAGATCTGTTGGGTGCCATGTACAGTGTTTACATACATCATCTGTTACAGAAAAGCATGCATTCTGTAGTTAGGCAGGTTTACACACATACTCTGGCCTCATTTCCTTTTCACTTTGGCCAATCTGTGGCGTAAGCTTTACTGTCATTTCAAAAATGAGAAACACAGTCAAGAGGTCAGCAGCCTGCCTAACGTTGAATGGTGAGAAAGTGGTAGAAGCAAAATGTGTGCCTAGGCCTGCTTGACCCCCACGGTCGGAGCTCTCACTGCTCTGCCCAGTCTGGGGGGGGCTGGGGTGGATGTTGGTGGTGGTAGGAGCAGGGTCAAGCGCTCACCTTGTACAGTGAGGCTGTGATGAGAGCCAGCAGCAGCAGCCCTCCCACACAGCTGCCCGCCAGGAGGGGCACAGGGTCGTGGACTTCATACTTCTCCAGCACTGTCTTCAGCTGCAGTGGAGCCGGCCCCACCAGTGTCAGGCCTCTTGCAGTCCCAGACTCCTCCCCGTCCCCCAGCCCTTTAGCTCCTTTCCATCCTTTCCCCAGGCCCCACTCCAAGTAGTGACAGGAAGAACCACCCAGGTGATTGGGGACAGCTGTACTGCTCAGGAACCTTCGCCCCTCCTCCCTCTGGGCTTGCCGACGCCCCAGCCAACACACAGATGCAGCATCCGGAGCCCTCTGACCAGCATGGCTGCTGCCTACCACACAGTTGCTACCTGGGCTCTCAGAAATGCCTCCTGCCCTGGAAGCTGGGCATACATGGACCTGTTGAATGTGATTTCAGCCACACTGACGACCGACACCTTCTTCTGCAGTGTCTGCAAAAGAGGAGGGGGGATGAGGGGCGTTAGCAGGGGGGCAGGGGGGTTCGGGGTTCAGGAAACGTCCTGGCCTGAGGAAGGTGCAGACCCATCAAATACAACATGGAGCTGGGGCGGGCCCCTGCTGTTGGGCCACACACCTGGCTGACCCAGCCGAAGCTGAGGTTGCCCTTCAGGATGAAGTCAAGTTCTTCCTGGATGCCAAAGGACGGGACATCACAGTGGAACTTCAGGCAGTCAGCCACAGAGCAGTCCTGGGGACAGGAACAGAATGAAGTTGATTTGAGAAGAGTCTTCACTTAGGAAGGAACTGTAAGGGAAAATAAAGGTTGTCAGATTTGGGAAGGGCCGGGGGCGATAGACGAACAAGTACAGAATACTTTGTAGCCTAGCGGTGCATTTTCCTGTGCCCCCCAGTATGGGACAGTCCTACATCGCGGGTTCAGGGTCTTTCTCACCAGCACAGAACTCCTTGGAATCTGGGTTAGGAAGTCAGAACCCTGAGGCGATTGCCTTTCTGACTCACAGGAGAGACCCTAGTGAGAGAGAGAGATACTTAGCCACATAAACATCCACATTGCCCTGAAGAAGAGTGTGATACTGTGAGGTCCGATCCCCAAGAGAGAGGAAAGGTGGGCAGGCACCTGTGAAGGGGCCGTCAGAGTCACGGCCCACACAGCCAGGCCGTCCAGTAGGACGGGAACCCAGAGTCGGACACTGATGGCTAGATCCCGCTGACTCAGGTTATTCACCTGCAGAAAATTGAGACCAAACATTACTGTAATCCCAGTCCCACTTCTTTCCTACCCATAGCTTTCAGGTCTTCTCCATCTTTCCCCACCAGTTTCCAACTCAATCTACACCATAGGGGGCAGACATGAACGCTCCCTGGCTTCTCACACGGTATCGGTGTTCAGCCTCTCTCTCACTCTTCTCATCAGAAGTTGAAAAACTGAAGTACTTAGTGGATTCTTCCTGCCTGGAAAGAGAGGGCCTGTTGGTGCAGAACAACCTGGAGACTATCCCCAGCTGTGCCCTAGGCGGCTGCTAGAGCTTCATTGGGACCAGCAGATGACCTAGGAAGTAACTTTGGTTCCCACACACCTCTGCAGTCTCTGCATTAGCCTCGGTTCCTCTCCCCACAGTGTGCTTTGCCCCAGTCACCAGGACCACCAGCTCTCCCTTAATACCCCTGGCTCATTCATGCACCCATGACTTTGCTCAAGCTGTCCCTTCTGCTTGCCTTGTTCTTACCCACTCTCCTTCTGGAAGTTGTTATTCAATGGTCCAGCTGAAACATCACCACCTCTCATAAAGCTTACACATTCTGGGAGAAAAGTATTCACACTGCTTTCTCTAGTAGACATGTGGCTGGACTGAGGCAATGCTTTCAGAGCTTGCTGCCAGAACAAATGAGCTCAGGAGAACCCCAGGGAGTGACACCCATTTCCTCAGGAGTGAGAACTCCTCTGTAAGGCAATGAGGAAAACAGGCGTGGTCGTCTTGGGGCAGGTAAGTGAATGTGAGGGAAGATGGAGCATGAACCCAAGCCCACGGAGGACACATAAGCATTTCAGGCTGCAGGAGGTTTCCTTCCTTCCATCCTTCCATCCACCCATCCACCCATCCACCAGGCCTTGCAGATTCAACCGTTTAGGCACAATCCCTGCTTCTCAAAGCTTCATGTCTAAGGTCTCGGTAGAAGCAGTCATAGGAGGAGGACCTGCACTTTTCTCCAGTTCCCAGCAGAGAAGCCAGACCAGCCACCAGGGTTCAGGGGCCACAACAGAGACCCCTGTCTCCCAAAGGGTCTTCGTAGGGCACACTGACTGACTTACTTGGAAAATGAAAAGAGCAAGTTATTTAAGTTCTCGATTTTTTTTGTTGGTAAAAATGAAGATAACAATATAGTTATAGAGGTAATTACGTGAATGTAAATACATGTAAAACACTTAATGCAAAAGCCCACAATAACAAAAAACGCATGACATGTAAGTATATACAACTGTAAGTTCTTATTAAGTATTTTCCTGTGGCTAGAAGGAGAAACACACACATGTTGTCCATGGGCTATATCATTGTCCGAAGTGGACGATGGTTCCCCTATAAATTTAGCATCGACTGTCCCAGCATAAGTGCAAGTGTCTGAGCACCTCCCCAAGCCCCTGCACTCCAGTCCAGTGTGTGGAACCCTCGGTGTCCTTCCGGCCTGGCTGTACCTGCTACTCTACCACTTTTGGAGTCCATCGCTGCAGTTCACACTTGCCTCTCCTGTGGTCTGCCTCGCCCTCAGGCTTTCAGAGACCTTCCCAGCAGCTTCTCACACTTCTGCTCTCTTCTGAGTGTTCCAGAAACCTGACCTTTACTTTTGAGTTTTTTAGAAACCTGACCTTCCCTTTCTGGTGTGTGGTGACTGACCATATCCTGTTGACACAAGAGAGCTCAGAAAAGTGCTCAATTCAGAGTGCTCAGAAAAGCCTTGATCTCAGCCTAGTAGCTTCACTTCAGCAGATGCATGTTTAGCATGAAGGGAAGAATTGGCATAATGTTAAAGGAAGCCTGAATTTTGGAGGAAGAGCATTAGATGTGTAGACCTGTTCAGAGAAGAAGAAAGAATTATATGGGCCATTGGATTATGATATACATATATGGCAGGTCACCCATACAAGCATTCCCATGGGAGGAATCAAAGAGGATAGGTCAGTTGCTCTACAGCTTGAATATGGTTTTAGTTTGTCCCCGAGGGTTCATGTCTCGAGAGCTTGTCCCTCAGTATGGCAATGTTGGGAGATGGTGGGACCTTGCAGAGGTAGGACCTAGTGAGTAGCTGCAAGACTAGCCCTGCTCCCTCGCTCTGCTTTCATGTCTCACCGTGGAATCTCACCCTCTGGTATACACTCCTGTCACTGTGGTGCCACCGGCCATAAGATGATGTAGCCAAGGGGCCTTCACCAGACCTGGCACTGTGATGTTTGAACTTTCAGCCTCCAAAGCTGTGAGCTAAATAAACCTCTTTTCTTTACAAGTACCTTACCTCAGGCAGTCAATTATAGTAAAACAGACTAATATAGATGCCCATCATCAAAAGAGTCAGCTGAGTTACAGTAGGAGGTACAAGACCTGGAGGAAAATCAGAGGACCAAGGGAGGGTAGGGATTAGGCACCTGCTGATCACTGTGTACACTGTGTATTTCACTGGCAGCTCCAGCTGGAAGGTCGTCTTGCTGGTTGCAGGCTTACTGTTCTCACTGCAGTAAGAAAGAGGAACACAGTTTAGGAGGAATTTAGGAGAGGAGCCTTCAGCTGGGGCCTTACACAGGGAGATGAGTGACATACCTGCTTGCATTGGCTCTCACAAGCAACCTGCTTCCCAGGGTAGCCTTGTCGGAGACATCAAATGTGATTGTGAAGGTGCTCTAAAGGAAGAAGGAAATGGGGCGGAAAAGGAATAGATCAAACAGGGAAGGTCATGGGGGCGTGGGGAGAGGGATGGAGCAGGACAAAGGAGAACAGAGGTGAGAACCACTGACCTTAGTGCCCTCCCAGAAGATGGGTTGGTTGATACTACAGCTGCTGCTCCAAAAGCCCTCATTCTCAGTGGGCCCTGCCTCACACGCCAAGCGCAGTGGGCGCTGATGTGGATGTTTCTGGGGAGGGAGAATGAATTTTAAAAAGTTACCCACATGCATAGATAGGCTTGAGATATAACAGTGTTGGTGCTGCCGAACAATAAAGGAAAGGACAGACTTTTCCATAAATGATGCTGGGAAATTTGGGCCATAGAGCACAAAGAGGGTGGAGGTTGGACCCCTACTTCACCCCATACGTTAAAATAAGTTCCAGCTGGATCAAAGACATAAATGTAGCTGGGCGTGATGGCGCACGCCTGCAGTCCCAGCACTTGGGAGCTGAGGCAGGAGGATCACTGTGAGTTCAAGGCCAGCCTGGGCTCCACAGTGAGCTCAAGGTCAGCCTGCACTACAAAGGGAGACCCTGTCTCAAAAACAAAAAGACTTAGATGCGGGAAAACAAAAATTATAAAGCTTTTAGAAGATAATATAGACAACTGTTTTTACAACCTTAGGGTAGGGAAGTAGTTCTTAAACAAGACACACAAAAACACTAAGTAGAAAAGATTATAAAATCAACCACACAGGCACACACACAAAAAGACATTCTGCTTATTGAAAAGCATTATAAGGAAGCTGAAAAGATAAGTAAGGTGAGCGATATTTGAAAACATATAGCTGGAGCTTGGGTAACCAGAATATGTGAAGAACTCTTACAGATCAATAAGAAAAAAATATAGCCAACTCAGTTGAACAGTGGGAAAAAAATGTGGACAGGCACAAAAGAAAAAGATCCAGATGACCAAGGAGTATATTTAAAGTTGCTTGACTTTAGTTATTAGAGTAATACAAATTAAAACTGTAAGGAAATACTATTACCCACAAGATTGACAAAATTTTTAAATCTGACAGTCATAGTTCCTATTATATATGAGAAAAGGGAAAAATGGAAACAAAGTCTCTATAAATAGGGAGGAGTGGAGGGGTTGAAGGGAGGGCAGGGGAATGGGGAAAAAATAAGAACCAAGATGCATCATGTACAGATACAAGATCCCAATGGTGAATGCAACTGCACTGTGTACCTAAAATGTACCAATAAACGTAATGGAAAAATAATAAAGAGTAAAATAAAACATAGATAATAGGAAGTAGAGAGAGAGATCTTTCTCAAATAGGAAGGGGATCAAATGATGGAGGAAGGCAGGAGGGTGGGAGGGAAACGGATGAGAAAAGGATTGGGATGTGTTATGCACATGCACCAACGCCCACAACAAATGTAACCATGATGCACTGCAAATGCACCAATCATTTTTTAAGATCGGACAATGCCAAGTGTCAAAGTAGATAGAAAGCCACAGGAACTCTGATACCTGGCTGACAGAAGTGCAAATGGTGAAAATACTTTTTGATTTTACTTGTTAAAATTGAAGATATGCATACCCAGTGACTCAGCAATTCCATGTGTGATATATACCTTCCAAAATATACTTAGGTGACCTGAATACATGCTCCAGAATAATCACGGCCAAAATCAGGAAATAACTCAAATGTCCATCAATTTTAGAGTAGATAAACAAATCGTGTTACATTCACATATATAGAAAAGATTCTATAAAAGATATAGAAAGAGATTCTATATAACAATGAAAATGTTCTACAACCATACACAACAACATGGATATGTCCCACAGATACATTAAAGGAAAGAAGCAAGTTACACAAAAGAACATAGAATGTGCTTCCATTCATGTAAAGTTCAAATATCAGCAAATGGACAGCATGATTTAGGGATGCACTCATGGATGGTAAACCTGTGACGGAATACAAGGAAATGGTGATCACACAGTTGGGGAAGCGGTTACCTCTGGGGAAAGGCCAGGACTGTGATAGGGAAAAGGACTTGGTGAGAGGGCTTTGGGGATGCTAGCAGCTAGTACTTGACTCAGACATAACTGTATGAATGTTTACTGAATATAATAGTTTCATTAAACTATACACACATATAATGTCCTCTGCATGTGTATTAGACCATGGGAGAAAGCATGAAAAAGAGCCTACTATAACCTGGAGTTGTAGAACGGAGAGGCCTGCTTCAGTTTAGACATGATTTGAGTGTCCCACAAGGCTTTATGCATTGAAATTTAATCCCTATTGGGAAATTTAGTTCCCATTGTGACAGGGTAGAAACTTAATCTGACTAAGGTGTTTAGGAGTGGGGCCTTTGGAAAGCATTTAGGATTAGCCTCGCGACTGAATTCTGGTGCCTTTATAGAAGTGGGAGAGAGGCTAACCAACAGACATCCCCGCAAGAACGTCACCACCAGGCATGGCCCCTTGCACCTCCAGAACAGTGAGCCAGAATAAACCTTTTTTTTTTTTTTTTAACTCAACAAATCTGTTGCAGTTTGTTACTGGCAACAGAAAATTGACTGATACAAGACTGCAGGCAACTAGAGCCCGAGAAACTATTTACCTGTATTCCTGATACCCGTCGATAGGACAGCCCCGCTGGATAATAGAAACTGATCACAGTTCCATAGGAATCTTCACCCTCATTCCACACAGTCACTGTCACATTGAGCTCCAGGGTATTCCCCACCACGAGGGTATGCAGGCTGAAGGGAGAAGGACGAAGCTGGGACTCTGACTCCACTGGGATTGGTTGGCAGTGGAACAGGAGCAGGAGAAGGCTTACGGAAATTCACAAGTCATTAACTGACAGATAACATTCCAATCCAGATCATTTTTGTTAAAAAGACAACTAAAAGGAAGGAGAGGGACTTCTCCTCTTACGAGCAGGGGAGACAGAAGCTTGAGTTCCAGATAGGACGGGAACAGAGCTCACCCTGAGAAGTTAAAGCTGACACCCAGGTCCCCTTCACAGAGGTGATCCTGCCCACAGTTCTTCTCAAACGGGAGCTGCAGGAAAGCACTGTGTTCTCCTCTCATCCCAGTTGGAACCTTGCTTTAGGCCTTTATCAACATAGACTACAATGGAGCCTCAGCACGCGAGAGACATAGTGAGGAGTTGAGGCAGATTTTAATATTGGAACATAAAGGAAGATAAGACCAGATCCTCTGCTTCGGGAAGAAAAACTTTAGATGAGTCGGATCCAATTAATACTAGAATGATTATTCAACAAACACTATCAAGTGGCAGTAATGCGACAGGTTTTGGATTAGGTGGCAGTTTGGGGAAGTAGGAGCTATAGGTGAATTAGATGTGGTTCTTAGCTCGAGGAACCTACACCCTCCACACACCACAGATTGTTGTGATATTTGGGGTGCTATGATCATGATGAAAGTAGGAGCCAGAGAAGTGGGAGCTCTTATGTGTGGTTTTCAAGTAGAGGGAGACAAGGTTGGCACTTGGGGACTAGAAAAGACCCTTTAGATGGAGAGACAGGAGAAATGTTTTTCAGATGAGAAACACAGACAAAGGCTTAGAAGTCAGAATGGGAAAGTTGGGAATGATCTGCGTCAGGGTAACCTGCTGGGATGTGTGCACGAATCCAAGGTAGACAGGACCTCCAGGTTAGGGTGCAGACACTGATAGGTAGGCAATTCTTAAGCACACAGAGAAACAATGAAAGGCTTTGGAGTCCCTGGGACTTCACTGGAAGACTCACAGAAGCAGTGAAGAGGTCTTGTGAGCCCACAGCCAGCACAGGGTGAAGGCTCTGGGTTGAGACAGCGTCTCTCACCAAGGAGAAGTTGAGGCGCAGGATGATGGGGCTCGCCACATCCTCTGTGCAGTCCTGAGGGAGAGTAGACATCAAGAACCCACCGTGGCTCTCCTCACTTCTCACCACGGGAGCTCCTCCGCTGCATCCAGGTAGCAGCCACCCCAGCTGTGCAGCCAGGCCTCCCGCCTCAACCTTCTCCCGCCATCCCCAGGGACTGCACCCCTCCACCGCACACAGCACACAGATGGGATTCTTCAGGCTAGCCTGGGGCTTCTCCTCCCTTCCCCTTTCCAAAACCCAAAGTCCTCACTGGCAGAAGCAGCTTCATGGTTTCACAGTGATCCCCAAGCCACAGGGTTTTCCTTCTAGTCAGAGTCCAGTTCTTGGTCTCATCAAAAATGGCACGAGCAATCCAACGGCCAGGGTCCAATGTCAGATCATAACTAACAGAACTCTGGAAATCACCTGAAGTCCAGAAAAAGGAAAGGCAAAAAGAACCTATAGTGTTCTGTGTTCATGCAGTAAATATTTGCTGAGCATGTTCTGTGGGCCATGAGCTGTAGCAAGTGCTGGGATCACAGTGGAGAAGAAGAGAGATCCATGTGGCCCCTGCCCTTGGGAAGCTCACAGTCTAGGAAGGGAGCCGAGCACTCAGCCGAACTGGCATAGTGTGAGCAGTACAAGGGTGAAATCTTCTATTGGTACTAAAGAGTGCAAAGTAACTCAGACTTGGCCACGGATGCTGTCCTAATGGCTATGTCTACGCTCTGACCTGGAGGATGAAGAGGAGTTGGGTAAAGCAAGGGAGAACATCCCAGACTGTGGGAACAGTGGCTAAGCCCCCAAAGGTGAGCAAGACTGGCGTATTTACAAAGAATGGACAGAGGAAGGAGGAATGGACTGGGTTGATAATGAGGGCCAAATCAGAGAAAGCACTGCAGGGAAGCATTGGTGTCTCTACACACGTGAAGGAGCGCAGTTTAGCGGTGCTTAGGGGTGGGCATGAGGAGCCCAGACTTGCATTTTAGGGTCAATCAGGTCTAGCTGCTCTGTGGAGAATGAGTGGGAAGGTCTAAGAACAGTGTGGGAACTTCTCAAAGTGAAGTGGCAGCTGGGAGGAGGCAGTGGGTGGGCCAAGAGAGAGAAGTGGGCAGGCACAAGATCCACCCTGGAGGCAGCTTGCAAGGCTGGGTATGGAAGGGGAGAGGGGAAGGCCCAGGCTTCCAGAGGGCACTGAGTGGGTGTGGAGGTGAGACTGGGATTCCATCCTGAAGGCAGCATAAGAGACTGGGTCGATCGTAGAGAAGAAACTCACCCAGCTGGTCAGGAGAGCCTTTAAAAACCGTGAGACAGACTGTGGCCACCACCAGTTCCAGGCTGGTGGGTGCCTCTTCCCAGCATCGGTACACTGCTTTGGGCACCTCCTCAGGGGTGAAGCTCATGGACACCCCCACTCTCAGCACAGGCAGACTCCTGAGGGGCAGGAGCAGGCCAGAGGGTGGGACCCCCTGGGCAAAGGAGGCAGGGCAGCACAGGGCAGCAGACACAGCAGGACATGGGGCTTCTCACCTGAGCAGCAGCACCTGGGCCTGGGCTCCCACGGCCAGGTCCGCCAGTCCGTCCTGGGTGAGGTCCTGGCCCCCGCTCAGGGACTGCCCAAAG